GGGAGCAGAACAGGCAGATCAACGAAGTACACTGCTGAGGGGAGCAGCGGGCGGGTCAGGAGAGGTCTGCCACGCCATGTGGTCATCTCCGGGGCAGGCGGGGATCGAACTCATGAGGAAGTGGCTTTAGTTTCTCAGTGCAGTGCTTTAACCCGCTGCGCCACCAGGGAGGGCCCTGTGGGCCTTGTTTTGATCCTGATTCACATCAACTGTAAACAGTCTTTCTATGTGAAGGTAGGAAAACCAGCGTGGATTGTTGTAATATAATGAAAGGGTTACTATTTGTTTGGGGTGATAATGGTTTGGTTAAAAATGCTAACATTCGAGTTATTTTGACATGTTTACAGGTGAAGTGATACCTGCAGTTTACTTAAAAAATTCCACAAAAATAAGTGTTTGGGGACCCAAGTAACATGTGAATGGTGATGTATTATGAAAAATTTTAAAGAGAATTAGGGATATTCTTGTTATGTAGTCTCAGAAGAAAACTTTACGTACTGATAATTTTTTTTTTTTTTTTCTTCCAGATAGAAAAGGTCTACAGAAATGGGTGTCATGTTATATTGTTCCCCAATGGAACCCGGAAGGAAGTGAGTGCAGATGGGAGGACTGTCACCGTCACTTTCTTTAATGGTGATATGAAGCAGGTCATGCCAGATGAACGAGTGGTAGGTTTCCATGGTGCTGTTTTTCTGGTAGTGTAAGCATCTCTGGAGAAAGGCACACTCCTGATGTTTTCTTTATAGATATACTACTACGCGGCTGCACAGACTACTCACACAACCTACCCAGAAGGACTGGAAGTCCTACATTTCTCAAGTGGACAAATAGGTAAAAACTTGCTCTGCTCTCTCCTATTAAATCCTTTTGTCTTTGAAGAATAAAATATTTATAATCTTTTTTAAACAGAAAAACATTTCCCAGACGGAAGGAAAGAAATCACATTTCCTGACCAGACTATCAAAAACTTATTTGCAGATGGACAAGAAGAAAGTATTTTCCCAGATGGTACAGTTGTCAGAGTACAAAGGTATATAAATACTGTTAAATTTTTTTCTAGATTTTCCAGTTTTTGTAGTTCAATACATGTAAATCATTTAAAATTTTAGTTCAGAAATAGGCAAAGATAATATTTGGAGAGCATGTGAGGGGAATTCAGAAATTTAGAATTTAGAATTAGTTTGAATCTACATACTCTAATATCAAACTTAAAGAAGGGAGTCTATGCAGTACTTTGGGGAAGGGGAATTGACAGTACTTGTTTAGAAAGAAATAAATTTAGTGAAATATGAAAGCTTTTAAATTTCAAAATGATTGAGAGTTAAAGAAGGAAAACTGACAGGGCCCTCCCTGGTGATGCAGCATTATGAAGCTATTGCATGCGGCCACTGCAGCACAAGTTCGATCCCCACCCCAGATTTGACCCACATGGCATGGCAGACCTCTCCTGACCCGCCTGCTGCTCCCCTCAGCAGTGTACTTTATTGATCTGCCTCTTCTGGTCCCCATTCTGTTTCTGGTGAAACCTCTCAATCCCTTGGCACCTCTGGCCTGTATGCGTAAATAAATAAATCTTTAAGAAAAAACATAACCGAACCGTGCCAGCAGGTGTTTCAGGTAGCTTCTCTTCTGACTTTTTGGATCTTACTGGCCTACTCACCAAAGTAGTTTACTACTTTAAGTTACACAGACCAAATTCTTTAAAATCAGCAATCTCTTTATCCTTAGTGTCACAGTTCTTGAATGAGAGGCTTTTTAAAAAATTTTATGTATATTTTACATCATTCTTCCTTTTTGTACAATGTATGCTTTCCTCACTCAGATGTAATCCCCATAGAATTCCCACCACCAATTCACCTATGAATCATCGCTATAGTTCTTTGTGCAGTCCTGTCCTCTCCTCCACGTTTTTATCCTTCTTCATCCCTTGCAGTGTCTCTGATTTATAGTTACCAGTTAATTAAAAAAAAAGTTATTATAATTATTTTTCTTTTACTTTCTAGCTTATTCACATAGCATAATCCTTTCCAGCTCCATCCATGTTGCTGTGAATGGCATGAGTTTATTTATTTTGATTGATGAATAGAATTCCACAGTGTATATATATCATATTTCCTTGATCCAGTCATCTATTTTTGGGTTGTTTCTATATTTTACCTATTGTAAATGGTGCTACAATAAACATAGGGGTACACAAATGCTTTTGAATTAATGTATTGTGTCCTTTGGGTGGATTCCTAGGAGTGGAATTGCTAGGTCATATGGTGACTCCATTTTTAATAGTTTAAGAAACTTCCACATAGCTTTCTATAGTGATTGGACCCAGTTTGCATTTCCACCAGCAGTATAGAAGAGTTCCTTTTTCTCCACATCCTTGTGAATACATTTCCTTTTTTTTTTTTTGAATTTTTTAACATGTGCCATTTTCACTGGCCAAAGGTAATGTCTTACTGTGGTTTTTTGATTTATATTTCTCTGTTTTCAAGTGATGTTGAACATCTTTTATACTTGTTGGCCATTTGCATTTCCTCTTTGGATAAGTGTCTTTTTATCTCTTTTGCCCATTTTTGACTGAATTGTGTACTATGTTTATGTTGATTTTTGTGATTAGTCCCTTTTCAGCTGTTGGAGTACATAATTCCCCCCCATTTCAGTAGCCTAGTATCTCTTTAGCTATATAGAAACTTTGTAGTTTGGTATAGTCGCGGCTGTTCTTTTCCTTCCCTTTCTTGCTTTGGGGGCTATATCTTTAAAGATGTTACTGAGATGTATGTCGTGCAGTGTTTTACCTCTATTTTCATTTGTATATTTTATGGTCTTAGGTTTTTAGATCTTTTATCCATTTTGTGCCTGGTATGAGATAGTAGTCCATCTTCATTCTTTTGCTTGTAGTACAATTATCCCAGCACTACTTATTGAATAAACTGTCCTTGTTCCATTGTATATTCTTTGCTCTTTTGTCAAAGATTGGTTTCCCATTAATATGTGGGTTTATTTCCAGAGTTTCTATTGGATTCCACTGGTCTGTGTATCTGTTTTTGTTCCAGTGCTGTGCAGTTTTAATTATTATATCTTTAGTATAGTTTGAAGTCTGGGTATGTGATACTGTCATTCTCCTTTTTAGTCAGGAGAGTTTTGGCTATTTGAGGTTGCTTGTGGCTTCATATGAACTTCATTAGTATTTCTTTGATTTCCTTGAGGAATGTCATTGGAATTTTTATTGGAATAGCACTGAACCTGTAAACTGCTTTTGGTAGGGTGGCCATTTTGATAATATTAATTCTTCCAATCCATGATCATGGGATGTCTTACCATTTCTTTTTGTCTTCTATTTCCTTTAATGATGTTTCATAATTTTCTTAGTATAGGTCCTCCTTCACCTCTTTTGTTAGGTTTACTCCCATGTATGTGAATTTTATTTTTGGTTTCAATTATAAAATGGATGGTTTTCTTGATTTCTTCAGCTTGATTATTGTAAATAGGAAGGCTACTGATTTTTGTGTGTTGATTTTGTGTCCTGCTACTTTACTAAACTGGTTGATTATTATTTTTTTTTTTTTTAAAGATTTATTTGTACATACAGAACTGGGGTACAGGCCAGAGGTGCAGGGGCGGTGAGAGGCTTCACCAGAGACAGAGTGGGGAGCAGAACAGGCAGATCTACGAAGCACATGCTGAGGGGAGCAGCAGACGGGTCAGGAGAGGTCTGCCACGCCTTGTGGTCTCCTGCGGGGCAGGCGGGATTTGAACTCATGCGGAAGTGGCTTTAGCTTCTCAGTGCTGTGCTTTAACCCGCTGCGCCAACTGGTTGATTATTTTGACTAACTTTTTTGTGGAGTTTTTAGGGATCTCAGTATGTTATCATATCATCTGCAAATAGTGATAGTTTATTTCTTCTCTGTGTGGGTTCCTTGTATGTCTTTCTCTTGTCTTATTGTCCTGGCTAAGACTTCCAGTATTATATTGAAAAGCACTGTTGAGAGTGGACATCCTCGTATTGTTCCAGATCTTGAGGGAAAGGCTTTCAGCTTTTTGCCATTGAAAATAATATTGGGTGTGTGTTTGTTGTATATGGCCTTTATTATGATATGATATGTTCCTTTTATCCCTAGAATTTTGAGGGCCTTTATCATAATTGGATGTTGAACTTTGCCAAATGCTTTCTCAGCATCTACTGATATAATTGTTTTTATATTTCTTTTTGTTGATGTGTTGGATTACAATAATTTTTCAGATGTTGAACCTTTGTACTCCTGGAATAACTCCCACTTGGTCATTCTGAATTATTTTTTGATGCACTGTAGGATTCTGCTGGCTAGTATTTTATTGAGGATTTTTGTATCAGTATAAAAGAGATTGGCCTGTGGTTTTATTCGTAAGAGATTGGCCTGTGGTTTTATTCGTAAGAGATTGGCCTCTGTGTTGTCCCTGTTCAGTTTTGGTATTAGTATAATGTTGTTTTCATAAGATGTATTTGGTAGTATTTTTTGAAAATAGTTTTTATAGGATAGTTTATTTCTGAATGTTTGGTAAAATTCATTTGTGAAGCCTCCTGGGCTCCCATTTTTGGATGGGTTTTGATTACTGTTTCAGTTTCACTCTTGTGATATTTATTTAGGTGTTCTATTTATTCTTTATTTAGCTTTGAATGATTGTATAGTTCTAGGAATTTGTCCATCTCTTCTAGATTGTTGAACTTATTTGCAGGTAACTTTTAATAGTAAACTCTGATTTTTTTTTTTTTTATTTCTGCTGTCTTGTAATTTTTCTCTCTTTATGTTCTATTTATTTGTGCTTTCTCCTGTTTTATCTTTGTGAGCCTGACTAGAGGTTTGTCTTTTTTTTTTCAAAGATTCATTTACTTATGCATACAGAACTGGGGTCCAGGCCAAAGGTGCAGGGGAGGTGAGAGGATTCACTAGAGTCAGCGTGGGGAGCAGAACAGGCAGACTGACAAAGTACATTGCTGAGAGGAGCAACAGGAGAGACAAGAGAGGTCTGTTGCGCAATGTAGGTCACCTCCCTGGTGGGGATCAAATTTATGCTGACGCAGCTGTGGCTTGCTTCATAGTGCACCACCAGGGAGGGTCTTCTCTGTTTATTTTTTCAATGGTGCAAATTTTGCCAACCTTTTGCATTGTGTTTTTAACTTTCATTTCATTTCTCTATGTGTTGATTTTATTATTTCCTTTCTTTGACAAGCTTTGCGTTTTATTTTTCTAGTGCTTTAAATTGGAAAATAGGTTGCTTCTTTGAATTCTTTCTTTTTTCTTCATGTGAGTCTGTACTGCTATATTTTCCTCTTTGTTATTTATTTATTTTTTAACATTTTTATTTATGCATACAGAGCTAGGGTACAGGCCAGAGATGCAGGAGTGGTGAGAAGATTCACCAGAAACAGTGGGGGGTAGAACAGGCAGACTGACAGAGTACACTGCTGAGGGGAGCAGTGGGTGAGACAGGAAAGGCCTGCTGTGCCATGTGTATCACCTGTGGGGCTGGGGTTCGAATTCAATACTGAAGCGGCTGCAACTAGCTTGCAGTGCTGTGCTTTAACCTACTGTTCCACCAGGGAGGGCCCATATTTTTCTCTTTTAACTGCTTTTGCTGTGCTCATACATTCTGGGATGTTGTGTCCTCATTGATATTCTTCTCAAGATATATTTTAATTTCTTTTTTGATCTCCTCATTGATCTAGCTGTTTTCCAGTGGTGTAGGTAGGTTTCAGTTTCCATGAAGTAGGAGTAGGAGTGTTCCTTGCTTTCTTTACATAATTTAGTTCTAGTTTGGGCAAAATGTTAGTGTTTGGGCAAAATGTGATGTGTTTGGACAAAATCAGTTAGTCTGATTTTGATATTAGTGTATCTTGTAGCCCAGTATGTGATCGATTGTAGAGAATGATCTGTGCACACTTAGAAAAACAGGTACTCGGATATTTTTGTGTGCAGTTTCCTCTGGATGTATGTTAAGCTCCTGAGGTCTAGGTCTTTACTTAGAGCTCCAGTGTCCTTGCTTATTTTTTGTTTCATT